GGGGGGGGGGGGGGGGGGGGGGGTAAGAAAGAAAACGGGGAAGGAGATATTACGGAGAAATGGATTCAAGAAAGGCGCGAAGTCGCGCGCGGACGACGCGCACTCCGGCGCTTCGCCCGCGCGGTTCGCGAGTTTTTCCAACGTGCGTGTGCACACTTGATTTCCACATGGTTCCGACACTTTGCTTCCTTGACGTGGTTCGGAACGTGACGGGTGTCCGATGAGAGAGATGGAGAGGGAGAGAGATATCAATTTCTGCACGGGGAAGAAGAACTTGTTGGCGCGTCAAATTTTACGCTGTCACAGCGAAATCAGCCGGTTATTGTGTAGACTAAGAGTGCTATTAACGGCCATTCGTTGGATTATTTTACTGAATCTACAAATGGGCCATAATTACGCAAAAGAATAGTCCGGTAATCCACAAAATTGTGATCTTTAAGATTTTGTTATTAATGAGTAATTTATACTTCTCTCTGTGTGAAATAAAAAGATTTTACCTGTGATATTGAAAATTCTAGCTGGACGAGCAAAACATTTTTCTGAGTGCGAGGACAAATTCACAGAAAAATATTTCTCTACTCTGGCAACAAAACCTATTCCAATTACGAGTAATTCATTGATTCGGCCAACTAAATTTTACCTGCCACGTGCAATATGCAGTAGCAACGATAGTTTCGCTAAAGCAGCGAAATAATTTTTCTCCCGTGGGCGTTGTTCGCAGAGAAACGAGCTCTCTCACGGGACCGTCGGCTACGCTCCGAATCGCATCGGAAGACGAAAAGCGTGTGCGAGCCGCGTTGGAAAGCACGTGTACGTGCGCGTATGTAGCAGGGACACCTCATTACCGTATCGTCCGAGCGATCCAGTCTCAGGTGTGCGACCGAGATTTATTCGCATTATTGTATTACGAGCTCTTAACTGATAAGCGGCGCCGTGCCAACAATTACGAACAAAACAAAACAAAAAAAAATAAATAAATGCGTGCCAAAGCAACCCCGATCACAAGGGGGACGAACGATGTTCTGCGGAGGAAAGGCGAATGGGGGAAGGCCGCTTCGGACGCGAAGCGCGCGGAGATTTCGCCGTTCCCGAAGGACTCGCGGGACTCGCGCTGCCACGACGCTTCCAGACCGAATTCCCGGCTCTATCTCTCGTTCAATTAGTTGACCTACGCAGGAAGGGGGAAGGAAGAGTGCCTTAGACACGGGGCACTTTTATTTAGAAATTGAATGTTATAGATGTTACTAAGGTGTACGAGATGTGTAAGACGTGTGTAATTCTGATACGTAATATCGAGACGCGTGTGTAATCTCTTTTCCCCTCCCTTGATTTTGTCCGGACCCATACAGCACACTTTATCCGATGGACGTCCTGCGCACGTCCTTAGAACACCTTTGGGACGTTCCCTTGGGAGACCTGTGCTATATGGGAGGGGAATCCTCCGCTTCTTTTTTCTCAGTTCTGCCCTCCCTCCGTAGGCGCCGGGAACTCGGTGCTTGACGGTGCTTCTCGCGCGGTCTCGCGAGTCCCCCACGAAAATCCGAACGCGGCGACCACCGCTACCGCGAGCGCGCTCGATCGTCCGCTTCCGTCCGTCGCGAGCGCGAACTAGTTGTTACAATCTTTTAACTGTTGAATTTTTGCTGTAGCAGTAAGTGTCTTAACGTATACCTTATATAAACTACACGATAATATATTCTATATTAATGTTTCTTAGATTTAAATCTAAACCCCGGCACGAGCGGTGTCCACGACGAAGGTCGTCGCTCGCGATCCCCGTGAGTGCGCGAAAGAAAGAGGGAGGGAAAGAGAGAAAGGGAGAGAGAGCTCGCAGTCGGGATCCGGCGCAACTTGG